ATACACTGTGAGCAAAGACCAAGTGAGAACTTTTATGGGAGAGTCATAAATGTCTTAAAACAACTACTCAGTGTTTTTCTTAGGCCAATATTTTGAATGCCGAAAAAAGAAAATCTGCTGAACAAATATAAGAAATAAGAAAGCTTCTAAAATCACACCACATTTTTAAAACACTCAGCAACTAGTTCTAGAACCGATGGATGACTGAGGACGTTTCTGTCATTAACAGCTAGAGGAGACATCGAGTGGTCGGGATGGGTCCTGGGGTGCAAGGTCTGCATAGCTTGTCTCAGCCTCTCATGTTCCTCCTGCGTGTGTGCAGGAAGTGGAAGGAAAAACTCTCATCTTGGTAGTACTTTCCGTTCCTGTGAGCCACCAACATGCAGTTGTTGTCACTGCGACTGCATTTCCTACACGGTCTGATTTCCTCATTGTCCCCATGGTCTTCCCACTTCTGTGGCTATTAGAAATCTTTGTCCAGACAGGAAACTGCTACTTTTATTAAGATGCTATCAGAGCTCAGATTCAAAGAATGCTACTTAAGGGGAGTTTTATCCAAAAACAGTGGGAAAAAATGACATGATTTTGTGGGCTTCTCCAAATGTTCTACCCGGAAAAGAAAAAACAACTAAGAAATTCATCTGTCCTCTCATCTCTTTCCACCTCCCCGATTCTGCCCCGGGACTCTGGCTATAGCAGAGTTAGGAAGCAGGTGCATTAGGATGCCAGCCGGGTGGGTCCACGGAGCGCTTCCTCCAGGCCACCATCATGACTTCCTGGCTGTCAGGACTTCCTGAGAGATGAATGAAAGTGGGAAATGCAAAGAGCTGGAGACTTCCCCTGAGTTCTCCCTGTGGATGCAAATAACAATTAACTCTTCCGGGAGCAGAAGCTAGCGAGCTGATCGAGACCTCTGTGAGGCCGTGGGCAGAGGCCAGGCAGGTGGAAGCAGGCTGCGTGGTTATGCTGCCACTTCCACAGAAACGGTTCCCACTAAGGCTCTAACTCCCACCAGGCCTGGTTTCTAAGAGGAAAATATTTCATCTGAACCCGGGAGGCCAGGCCCCACCCCCACCACCAAGGATGAACCTGACAAGCCATCTTCCTTTCATTCTTGAATTGTAGAGGCCACTTACTTCTCAGTTAAGGTTAGGAAAGTCTCAGTGCCCAGCATTCTGGAAACGTGCCAGTAGGTGCAGCCAGTAGATGTTGGAGTGACCACTGGGTGCTCTGCTCACCGTGGGAGAAGAGGTTTGCAACAGGCCCAGCAGGGAAACCTAGAAACCCCTCCCAACCCAGAGTGGCGGCGTCCTCCCACTGCCAGCCCATGGGAGGCCCTCGTGGCAGTGGCACTGACGCAAGCTGAGGAAGTGATACAGCTACAAGCCGAAGAAACCCGCAGAATTGGTTTCCCAGTGGGCACAGGTATGCTATGATAAAAAACAGGATAAATAAAAGACAAAGTTTTTGCTCCTTCCATTTCAACAGGGAGTAGACTATTTTAAAAGCTAAGAGACCTTTCCCAAAAGGACACTCTGAAACACTGTTTATTTATTTATTT